GATCAACAAGGTAAGCGTTCAACCGATCGCAAATGTCATCAATAATGGGTCCGGACGCCACGAGCGTACAATCATCTGCGTACGTAATAATCTCTATGCCGTCTGGAGGGCGTGGAATTTCAGAAAGGTAGAGGTTAAACAGTTCCGGAGATATCACCCCACCTTGGGGAACTCCCTGTTTAACTCTACGGATGCTCGACTTCTTGTTTCTGAATTCCACGTACGACTGGCGTCCACACATGTAGTTTACTATCCAACGTTTCAAACTTGGCCGGAGGGTGGTGCGTTCAATGTCCTCGAACAGTGTGGCATGATTGACTGTATCAAAGGCTTTTGATAAATCAAGTGCCACCATAACTGTTCTATCGCACGGCCTGTTCTGGTTCAGACCTCTACTGACATGTGTGGAAATGGCTGTTGTTGTGCTATGCAATTTCCGGAATCCGTGTTGATGATCGGCTACTGGGAAACACTCTCTTATGCTGGGGAGGAGTAAAGCCTCAAGCGTCTTTGCTACTGGTGACAAAAGTGATATCGGCCTGTATGAATCACTTTTGCTGGCATCCTTGCCTGGCTTCAGTAGCGGGACCACCCTGCCCATTTTCCAGGCATCGGGAACTACTAGGGTGGCTAACGACAGATTGAGAAGCTTTGTCAGATACTCAACTCCTGGTTCATCCAGTTGCTTCAACATCACCATTGAGATTCCGTCAGGACCAAGCGCTTTGGATGACTTTGCGCTTCTGATGACTTGTGCAACATCTGCCAACGTAAATTGTGGTGGTACCTCCTCGGCTGGAAGGGATCGTACACGGCGTAGTATCCTTCTCTTCGCCCTGTCACTCTCGGGGTGCTCTACAAACTGCCGGTTAAAATAACACGCGCACCTCTTCGGATCTGTCACTTCTACGCCGTTAAATGAGACAGATGTCCGATCGTCCTTTTTTCGAGGGTTCGAAAGCGACTTAACCGTTGCCCACAATTTACTCATTCCGGTACCAATGTTGCAATGCTTCAGATGTTCTAACCACTTTTTCCGCTTATGCTCACCTACTAACCTGTTTACCTCCAGAGTAAGTTCCCTGACTCTGGGGTTATTAGGGTTAGTACGGCGAAGCTCATCTCGCTCGTTTGCTAATCCCGCTGCCTCTGCTGGGAAATTTGGTCTTATTTCAGGTATTCGACCAGCAGGGTTGGGCAGTTCTCTGAAGCGGCGATTGGTATACTCTCTGAATTCTTGCCAATTAGCTTTCCCGTGGTTAAGGAAAGTGCGGCGTTCAGAGTCGATGAAGTCGGGTGGTCTATTGATGGCGATAATAATGGGGAGGTGGTCTGAGCCTAGAGAAATGACTGATTGCCAAGTTACGTCATTCGTCAGACCTGGGGACACGATGGATATGTCCGGAGAACTGTGGCAGTCTCCCCTTATTCTGGTGGGCGCGTCCTCATTCACTGTGCAAAACGTGGAGCTATCGATTTGCTCAGCCAGCGCCATGCCTCTCTGGTCATTACCTAGGACGGAATGCCATAATTCATGATGGGCATTGAAATCCCCTAGCACCAGGCGGTTATTGCCTACCAGTAGTGAACTGATATTAGGCATATAACGTGGGGCACAGCTATTTAACGGCGGAATGTACACGTGGAGCACCTCTACCTCGGCGGATCCACACTTGACCGCTACCCCCATACATTCCATGTACGGGTCACTAGAGTCAAGCTCAGGCGAGATAGGTCTGTACTGGACAGAGTGGTGCAATAGGAACGCTAATCCTCCACCTCCACCTCTAGAGCGATCCTTCCTCAGTACGTTGTATCCATCACAACTTTGAAGCGTGCAGGTGGTACTCAGCTTCGTCTCCTGGATCGCTGCGACCTTGATATTCTTCCGACTCATAAAGCTTACAATTTCGTTGATCTTACCTCTGAGACCATCACAATTAAATTGGAGAAATTATGCATTATCCGGAACCTGAACAGCAATGTGTGGCGTCAACTGCTGCGTAGATTGCTGTTGAGGAGATTGCGGGGGAGTCTCATATTGCGACGACGATGAGGACGCCGAAGATGAAGACTCACTGGGGTCTACATTGACGCAGCAGGAAGCAATGTAGTCCCTATCGCTATACTCCTGTATCCGGTTTAGGCCGGAACAATTCCGGAAATGCACCCACTCCATGCATCCGTTGCATCTCACCGAAACCGATCTGTGGTGGATGCGATTACGACAAACGGAGCAGAACCATGGTCCGGGGTTGGTCTCGATCCCGGCTCGGACCAAGAGAATACGGAGCAAACATTCCGGGTAATGTTGCTCCCACATCAGAAAAATGGACGAACACGAACATGTATTTGCTGGGTTGGCGGCCCCTGGTCGGAGAAATGTGCCTCCGAGTCAATCCGGTACATAGAACCGGCCGTCGTGGGATTTTAGTGATTGGAATGGCTATAAAATTTGGCAAAGGTGCTTGAAGATATATATATTGAGTTATATCTAAATTTGAACCGATTCTGGAAAATTTCATTTCAATCGGATAATAAATGCGACCTGCATTTTGTTCACAAAAATGCATGGACGGGCGGACTGACATGCATAAATTGACTCAGAAAGTTATTCTATGAAGATCTATCTCGCTTCCTTCTCCATGTTACAAACAATCGCACAAAGACACTAACCCTTAGGGTATACATAACTTTTACACCGTGAAGTTGTTTCATATTTTCAAGAGCTTTTAAATCGCTCTGTCTCAAACAAAAAATATATAACTGTTTATTATTCCTATTTGTTTTGTTTCTTGCGTTGCTCTTGTTTTTTTCTTTAGTTTTTTTTTGCTTTATTTATTTCTGTTCGTTTACGTCATTTCTGCTTATATTTTTAACCTATAAACAAACATACATTCGTATGAAGACCACTATATTCATATACAATGCCAGCAGAAAGGCCATCTATTCATACATTTTTGGTATTTGTGTTTATATTTTTGCTTGCGATCTCAAGCATCCCACCAAAATTACCATGGAGAGACATCAACATCAGCTAAAAACAAAAAAAAAAAAAAAAAAAAAAAAAAAAGACATGACGGATGATATCAGAGATTTTATGCTTTGTTTTTAATTGGAAAATTCTGATATATTTTTTTACAAAAAATAATACAAGCAACGACATTTAACATAGTTTTTGAAAATTTTGAATAATATTTGACCAGTATGTGAGATAATTTATTTATTTCATTACTTCGCAATTGAAGCCAAATTATTAATTCAATGACAAGTTCATATATTATTACAAACAAGTAAGCAAATGCTATAGTCGTGCGGGGTCGACCATGTGATACCCTACAACACTACAATATGTTGGAAACCCCTTTGAGACCAAATCCATTTTGGAAGATTTCTTTTTTAAAATAATGTCGACCGGCGGCATTTGCCAAATATTTTCGCACTCCGTCGTGTTGTTAGCTATTGAAAACAATTTCACTCGAAAGTTGTGTCCATTTTACAGCTAAATATAATCCAATGGCCAATCAAAAATGCTAGAAATATTTCCTGCCCTCAACTTTCTCCTCCTGCAAAATTCTGTGTCGTTTGGTTTTCAATTGTGGCCGGTAGAGCGACTGCAGGAAAATTTTAATTTATTTGGGCCATTTGAACCCCTAAATGTACATTTTCAAAAACAGTAGGCTTTAATCCTGATCCAAACCCTACCCCAATGCAAAATTTCGTGAGGTTCATACGATAATTGCGATCTGTATATAATAACCTCAATAGTGTTGCAAGATGTAGAAAATCTTTAGAAAATGTACAATTCAAATTGAAAAAATCGCATGCGATAAAAAGTATGACAAAAATTAAAAAAAAAAAAATAACAAAAATATTTACTTTTTTATTGGAGATACTAAGGAGTGGCTATTACTGACTGACTTGGTGGAAAGTTTAAAGACAGACTTATCAATCCCAGTTCGGAGGATCAATTCCAGGATTTGGATATAGCTCCCATATATATCTTCAACCGATTTCGGGTTAATTGGGCACCAAATAGCCAATATCAGTCCAAAAGTCCTGAACTTTGGTACACCGACCGAATTCAGTCTAGAAGCAAATACATAGAATTAGGAGAAAATTGGTTCAGATATTGCTATAGCTATAGCTCCCATATATAGGTTTCATCCGATTTGGTGTTTAAGTCCCTTACATTCGTAATATGCATTCCACAAGAATGATGTTTGGTATCAGATACAGCCCGGAAATACCTCTGCCAAATTATATCAATATCTGTTCAGATTTGGATATATACCTTCAACCGATTTCGGGTTAATTGTGCACCAAATGGCCAATATCAGTCCAAATATCCTGAATTTTTTTGGCACAACCAACCGAATTCAGTCTAGGACCAAGTATGTCAAATTTGGTGAACATCGGTTCAGATATAGCTATAGCTCCCATATATAGGTTTCATCCGATTTGGTGTTTAAGTTCCTCACATTCGTAATATGCATTCCACAACAATGATATTTGGTACCAGATATCAGATACATCCCAGAAATACCTATTCCAAGTTTTATCAAGATCCGTTCAGATTTGGATATAGCTCCCATATATATCTTCAACCGATTTCGGGTTAATTGTGCACCAAATAGCCAATATCAGTCCAAAAGACCTCAATTTTGGCACATCTGACCGAATTAAGTCTAGAAGCAAGTACATCAAATATAGATATATGTTTCATCCGATTTGTTGGTGTAGGAAATCATATGGTCGGCCCCGCCCGACTTTTGACTTTTCCTAACTGGTTTTTTATGAAATGATATACTTTTATATAGCAGTTTAGGACAGGTTTATGTTTATGATAAAGTGGTTCAAGTAATAATTTTTCTGTTATTTCTTTGATTGCTCTTCAAGGATTAGTTATTTCATTTTTATTGTTTTTATTTTCCCAGTCATTTATTATTCATTTACGAAATTCAATTATAACATTTTCTATTTTTGTTTTGTCTTTACAGAGTTATTTTGTTACCGACTATGATCCAACTATTGAAGATTCATATACCAAACAATGTGTCATCGATGATGTACCGGCAAAACTTGACAGTAAGATGAAATTTATTTTGATATTTAATTTAATAATTAATTTTTTATAAAAATTTCAGTCCTTGATACGGCCGGCCAAGAAGAATTTAGCGCCATGCGTGAACAATATATGCGTTCCGGTGAAGGTTTTCTGCTAGTCTTCTCGTTGAACGATCATTCCAGTTTCGATGAAATACCCAAATTTCAAAAACAAATTCTTCGCGTTAAGGATCGGGATGAATTTCCCATGCTGATGGTGGGCAATAAATGTGATTTGGAACACCAGCGTCAGGTATCACTGGAGGAAGCACAAAATATTAGCCGTAATTTGATGATACCCTACATCGAATGTAGCGCCAAACTGAGGGTAAATGTTGATCAGGCTTTTCATGAACTAGTTCGACTTGTTAGGAAATTCCAAATGGCCGAGAGACCGTTGCTGGAGGAGGAACGTTACAAAAAGAAGAAAAGTAAATGTTGTGTTTTATAAAACGTCGAAATGGAATGCCACAACATATCTACATAAATATGGACGTTATGACGAAGAAACATCAACACCAAATTAATTTTCATAAAGCTGCCAGTGTTTTGAGTGAAACTATTTTGGTTATTAGAGAAAAATAAAAAAAAAATGAAAAACGGAAACTAAAAAGAATTATAATCGAATCTAAACTCAATGTAAGGGTAAATGTGTAACCAACGATTTTTTTTATGTAAACAATATTTAAAATTTTATACTAAGTAAACGTTCAGCGTTCAAATCAAAACCACAACAAAAACGTAAATGTTAAATATTATTAATTTATTATTTTCTAATTAGTAATTCATAATTGATATTAACATGGGGAGCTTTGATGAAGTCTAAACGCACAAGGAAATTTGTTGTTAGAGAGAAATTTTAAAAAGCATATGTTTCATTGACAAAATTTATGATGGAAAATTTAAATGAGAATGAAGAATTTTTACTTTTGTTACCCAACTTCCTTGTGGACAATGTTTTGAAAACCCAGTTCTTTTGATAGGTTTCTAAAAGTTCTGACATTTAAGGAAAGCCTTGACAAAATGTTTGTCAAATTCGCATTTTTAGTTTTCTGTCCTTTTTTGTCGTATCTTGATATTGCTTCTTTCTAGTGTTTTTATTTTTGCAATTTTAAGCGAGTGTTTTCGTCTTTGTATTTTTTTCAAATCTATATATAAAGCCAAAAAAGTATATATACATTTCTGATTATAAATAAATTGTATTAACAAAAGTGCCTCGATATATAGCACGAAATGAAATTATGCACAAAACAAGAAACGATAATAAAATAATAACAATAATTATAATAAACAATTAAAAAAAAAAAAAACAAATATTTTTTTATTAAATAATTTTTTATTACAAATAATTTACCTAAAATATGTGTATGTATGTAACATTTAATGTATTAGCATAATATTGTTTTGTTTTTTAAGCCAAGAACATCAATTGCCAAATGTTTGGAAAATGAAAAGAGTAAATTACAATTTTATTAGACCCATCAACAAGTATTTTGTTTGGCATTATACATTTGTTATACATATATTTGTGTATTTTTTGTGCATCAATATAAATATTTATACACAAAACAAATTTTTTCCCATTGCCGAGCATATGAAACTCAATATTTTGTTATTGTATTCAATTTGATAATAATAATAAGAACATAAATGAATCTAACTAATGTTGTAAAATAAATGGCATTAATAAAATGTAACAACCAAAATATAACAATATTCAATCCTGGAGTGGGAAAGCTTATTCTATTCTATAATTTGTGATGATAGGAAAAATGAAAGATATAAAAGTGAAACCAATAGGGAAAAGTTAAAAGTGGGGTGGGGTCAACTCTATGATACCCTACACCATTATGCATATTTAGTAGAGCTACGTAACAAAAGAATTTATTTGAAGTAGATCATACCACCTATCAACATTTGGCTTTAGAGCAGTTATTGTTTGGTTTCAGACGGAACTAATATATGGGAGGAATATCCAATTCTGAATCGATTTTCACTCAATTTGACGGAGACTTTTTAATTTTTTTTACCAAATAAATTCGCAATAGAGTGCATGATATCATTTCGAGAAGGATTTTATTAAAAAAAATATGCATCGAAGACGAGATCCCCAAAATTGAAATGTACGTCCCGCAATTCACTCCATTTGGGCTGATATTAGCCATTATTTGCACAATAAACCTGAAAACGGATTAAGGATATGTATGGAAGCTCTATCCAAATCTTGGCCGATAAAATTTGGTAAAGGTATTTCCAAGCTCTATAAGATATCTGGTACCAAATATGATTGTTGTTGAATGCATATTACGAATGTGAGGGACTTAAACATGAAATCGAATGAAGCATATATATGGGAGCTATAGCTATATCTGAACCGATTTTCTACATGTACTTGATTCTGGACTGAATTCGGTCGGATGTGCTAATTCAGGTCATTTGGACTGATATTGGCTATTTGATGCACAATTAACCCGAAATCGGTTGAAATCGTTACGGGAGCTTTATCTAAATCTGAACCGCTTTTCTCCAAATTTGATGTACTTGCTTCTAGACTGAATTCCGTCGGATGTACCAACATTCAGGACTTTTAGACTGATATTGGTCATTTGGTGCACAATTAAATCGAAATCGTTTGAAGATATATATGGGAGCTATATCTAAATCTGATCCGATTTTCATCAATTTCAATAGCGTTCGTCCTTGGGTCAAACAAATTTTCCTTGGAAAATATCATCTCAATCGGATAATAAATGCGATCTGCATTTTGTTCACAAGAATACATGGATGGACGGACGGATTGACATGCATAAATCGACTCAGAAAGCGATTCTATGAAGATCCTCAAAAGTAAATATGTGTCGATCTCGCTTCCTTCTCCATGTTACAAACAAATGCACAAAGATATAATACCCTTACCACTATGTGGTGTAGGGTATAAAAATCTATTTTAACTCCTGATTTATATTACGCAAGCTTATTTACACCACGTCTCGGCTTATAGGAAGAGGGTTAAGGGAAATAAAAATGAAGATGAATGAAAAATTTGTTCGTACTGGCAAATTTCTTGCAATTCTTTTTATACCCTCAGTCATATGGCTAGAGAGGGTATATACAATTTGATACGGTCAAAACGTGCCTAGTCGAAATGACGGTTTTAGACCCTAGGTCTCTTTGGACCAAATCCGTTTCAGAACATTTGGAGTCGATCTAGCGATGTCCGTCCGTCTGTCTGTCTGGCTGGCTGGTGCGCACGATAACTCTCGAAGGGAGTACCCGATTTAGTCCAAACTTGGTACATCGTAATATTTTTGTCAGACTTAGATCGAGTTCGGAGATGGGAAAGGATGATCCGATTTTGCTCGAACTTTGCAAATCCTAATATTTGCGTTAGTGCTAGGTCAGGTGCGAATATCTGTCCACTCCATCAAGTACCTCCCCCACAGAGGGTCAAAATTTTGAATGATTGCAACTCTTATTAAATATGAAGTAAGTGTCCGATTGTCTTCAAATTTTATACATCCCAATATTTTTATTAACCCAAGGTCTGGTGTGAAGAGGGAATACATCAGTCCACTCCTTCTGGTACCTCCCCCACAAAAGAACGAAATTTTCAAAAAAAAAAAAAAAAATCTGCCAATCCTAATATCTGCGTCAGTGCTAGGTCAGGTGCGAAAATGGATAATATCTGTCCACTCCATCAAGTACCTCCCCCTCAAAGGGTCAAACTTTTGAATGATTGCAACTCTTATAAAATGTGATGTAAGAGTCCGATTGTCTTCATATTTCGAACACCCCAATATTTTTATAAACCCAAGATCTGGTGTTAAGATGGAATATATCGGCCCATTCCTTCTGGTACCTCCCTCACATAGGATTCAATATTTTGAAAAACAGAACGCTAAGGAAGAAAGCGAAATAAGCTTCCAACTCACACATACACACAAAAATGTTTGTTAACACAAGATCTGTTGTGAAGTTGATATATATCTGCGAACCCCTTCTGGTACCTCACCCACAATTTTTTCAATACTTTTATCTGTCATAAATTGCGAAACAACTCAGCGATTCTTTACAACTTGCTATATCTAAATATATATCCCTCATCCAGAATCCTGAGATGAATATGGAATTTATGATTTCCCATAAATTGGATATAAATGTTTTATTTTCTTATATATAATAATAATATTTATATCATACTAGCTGGCCCGGTCCGCGTTGCCGGCCCGTAGTTTTTGTTTATTATGCATATATTCCCAAGCATAATTATTCACAGATATGACTGTGTATAAGAGTTAACGTACTGGTCGATTAAAAGTATTTTAAAATACCTATACCCATATTTAAGCCGTGGGCTTCAATACTTAAACCGTGGACTTCAAATGTGTGGATGTGCTATACAAATCCATTAAAAAGTATATTTCAATCTTATCCCCATGTAAGGGATCAAATTAATTTTTAGTATGGTAAAAATGGTATCAAAATTTTCCAGTCAAATGAGCAGTAATTTGGAATTTGCTGTATTTTGTATACTACATAATTGAGGGCTGAATGATTTAAGAATAGCCAAAGTTAATTACTTTTTTAAACCCATTAGCAACTTAGATTGTGCATTAGAGTCCTCATAAGTCCCCCTAACCATGTCAGTCTGTTTGTCCGCCAAAAGGTGGACTTGAGAGGGTATTATAACATGGATAAAAATTCTAAAATTTGTAGATATGTTGAAATTTTAGTGTAAGATTTTCACCCCCCTAATACACATTATTAGCCAAATTCTTTGAAATGTGGTTAAATTAGGAGGTACCTTTTTTATATGGGCACTACTCCGAAACATCGACCTACATTGAAAACTTTCTTCTACCCCTTATAATCCAAGATGACAAATAGAGGCCAAATCAAAAATATAGCAGAACAATATAGCATGTCATAGCATTTCGCGTGATTTAAATAAGTAAAAATAGTTTTATCCACCTCATAATTGAGGGCAGAATGATAAGATGGGAATTAATTTTATTTGCCATTTAAATTGTAAGTTGGAGACCCCTTAAAGTCCATATTTTCATCATAGGATAATTCAATGATGATTAAACAAATATTCGGTCCCGTGCTACTTTCTTATATTTGTAATTTGTTCATGTTTCCACAATTTATTTCATATGGATGCACAACCCAAATCTACGTTCCCAACCAATATTCTCTTGGGGGTTAAAAATTCAATAGAATACAAAATTTTCTTTTCTGACCACACATTAGATGTGAAATTGGACTTGGGGATACTCCAATGTGGGGACTTTACTTAAATAAATTCCTATGTGGCAATTATCTGTATGATGGTTCCCTACCCCAGGGTGGCATAAATAAAATTTTTTAGCCAAATCAATTGATGAATGTGGTCAATACCAATATGGGCCCTACTCTGAAAATTTCAAATTTTATGCGAAGAGGTTATCTACCCCCTTAGAAACAAAAATGTCAAATAAGGGCCAAAAAATGAAAAAAGTGGCCGGCCAAGACCCCAAAAATAACTTAAATCATAGATGGTTATATAAATATGAAATCGGGTTGTTCCCTTATCCATGAGTTATGATCGATATAAAGAC